ACCCCCATGGTGTCGAGAATCTGCCATGCGTGCTGTGCCATGGGCGACCGTCACGGATAGCGGCCGCGGTGAGAGACCACCCCCTGCGCACCCCCTTATTGTGTCGAGAATCTGCCATGCGTGCTGTGCCATGGACGACCGTCACGGATAGCGGCCGCCGTGAGAGACCACCCCCTGCGCCCCCCTCTATGGTGTCGAGAATCTGCCATGCCTGCTGTGCTTCTGTGCCCTGGACGAACGGGCACGGATAGCGGCCGCGGTGAGAGACCACCCTCGCGCAACACCCCTAAGAAAATGGTGACCGAGAATCTGCCATGCCTGCTGTGCCGCTGGAACGACCGGCACGGATAGCGGCCGCGGTGAGTAGACCACCCCTGCGCACCCCCTATGGTGTCGAAATATGCATGCCCTTCTGTGCCCTGGACGACAGGCAACGGATAGCGGCCGCGTGAGAGACCACCCCTGCGCAACAACCCCATGGTGTCGAGAATATGCCATGCCTGCTGTGCCCTGGACGACCGGCACGGATAGCGGCCGCGGTGAGAGACCACCCCTTGCGCACCCCCTCCGGTGTCGAGAATATGCCATGCCTGCTGTGCCCTGGACGACCGGCACGGATAGCGGCCGCGGTGAAAGACCACCCCCTGCGCACCTCCTACGGTGTCGAGAATATGCCATGCCTGCTGTGCCCTGGACGACCGGCACGGATAGCGGCCGCGGTGAGAGACCACCCCCTGCGCACCCCTTCATGGTGTCGAGAATATGCCATGCCTGCTGTGCCCTGGACGACCGGCACGGATAGCGGCCGCGGTGAGAGACCACCCCCTGCGCACCCCCTATGGTGTCGAGAAAGTGCCACGCCTGCCACGCCCTGCGACCCTGGGGCGGACAGAAACCGCGGTGAGGGACCACTCCCTGCACACCCCGTATGAGGTGAACGCGGGTGCGACGCGGGTGTAGAGACAAGTCAGGTCGGTCGAGCACGAGACACCTAAGGCGGCCGAGCACGGACAAGCCAGGTCGGCCTCCTGGAGAGGAGGTAGAGGGCAAGGAGGAGGAGGAGGAAGAAGAGGAGAGAAGGGAGGAGGACCATCGTGCATAGCGGCCGAGCTCAGGGACCACCTCCTGCGCCCCCCTCTGGTGTCGAGAAAGTGCCACGCCTGCTGTGCCTGGACGACCGTCGTGCATAGCGGCCGCGCTCAGGGACCACCCCCTGCGCACCCCCTCTGGTGTCGAGAAAGTGCCACGCCTGCTATGCCTGGACGACCGTCGCGCATAGCGGCCGAGCTCAGGGACCACCTCCTGCGCCCCCCTCTGGTGTCGAGAAAGTGCCACGCCTGCTGTGCCTGGACGACCGTCGTGCATAGCGGCCGCGCTCAGGGACCACCCCCTGCGCACCCCCTCTGGTGTCGAGAAAGTGCCACGCTTGCTGTGCCTGGACGACCGGCGCGTATAGCAGCCGCTCGCTCAGGGACCACCCCCTGCGCACCCCCTCTGGTGTCGAGAAAGTGCCACGCCTGCTATGCCTGGACGACCGGCGCGTATAGCAGCCGCGGTCGGGGACCACCCCCTGCGCACCCCCTCTGGTGTCGAGAAAGTGCCACGCCTGCTATGCCTGGACGACCGGCGCGTATAGCAGCCGCGCTCAGGGACCACCACTGCGCACCCCCTATGGTGTCGAGAAAGTGCACGCCTGCTATGCTGGACGACCGCACGTATAGAGACGCAGCGAGAGACCACCCCTGCGCACCCCCTATGGTGTCGAGGAAGTGCCAGCCTGCGATGCCAGACGACCGGCGCGTATAGAGCCGCAGCGAGAGACCACCCCCTGCGCACACACTATGGTGCGAGAAAGGCCACGCCTGCTATGCCTGGACGGACCGGCGCGTATAGAGACAGCAGCGAGAGACCACCCCCTGCGCACCCCCTTATGTGTCGAGAAAGTGCCACGCTGATATGCCTGGAACGGACCGGCGCGTATAGAGACCGCAGCGAGAGCACCACCCCCTGCGCACCCCCATATGGTGTCGAGAAAGTGCACGCCTGCTATGCCTGGACGACGGCGCGTATAGAGACCGCAGCGAGAGACCACCCCTGCGCACCCCCTATGGTGTCGAGAAAGTGCCACGCCTGCTATAGCAGGACGACTGGGGCGTATAGAGACCGCAGCGAGAGACCACCCCCTGCGCACCCCCTATGGTGTCGAGAAAGTGCCACGCCTGCTATGCCAGGACGACCGGCGCGTATATAGAGACCGCAGCGAGAGACCACCCCCTGCGCACCCCCTATGGTGTCGAGAAAGTGCCACGCCTGCTATGCCTGGACGACCGGCGCGTATAGATACCGCAGCGAGAGACCACCCCCTGGCACCCCCTATGGTGTCGAGAAGTACCACGCCTGCTATGCCTGGACGACCGGCGCGTATAGAGACCGCAGCGAGAGACCACCCCCTGCGCACCCCCTATGGTGTCGAGAAAGTGCCACGCCTGCTATGCCTGGACGACCGGCGCGTATAGAGACCGCAGCGAGAGACCACCCCCTGCGCACCCCCTATGGTGTCGAGAAAGTGCCACGCCTGCTATGCCTGGACGACCGGCGCGTATAGAGACCGCAGCGAGAGACCACCCCCTGCGCACCCCCTATGGTGTCGAGAAAGTGCCACGCCTGCTATGCCTGGACGACCGGCGCGTATAGAGACCGCAGCGAGAGACCACCCCCTGCGCACCCCCTATGGTGTCGAGAAAGTGCCACGCCTGCTATGCCTGGACGACCGGCGCGTATAGAGACCGCAGCGAGAGACCACCCCCTGCGCACCCCCTATGGTGTCGAGAAAGTGCCACGCCTGCTATGCCTGGACGACCGGCGCGTATAGAGACCGCAGCGAGAACCACCCCCTGCGCACCCCCTATGGTGTCGAGAAAGTGCCACGCCTGCTATGCCAGGACGACTGGGGCCACGCCTGCTATAGCAGGACGACTGGGGCGTATAGAGACCGCAGCGAGAGACCACCCCCTGCGCACCCCCTATGGTGTCGAGAAAGTGCCACGCCTGCTATGCCAGGACTGGTGTCGTCTTGTGTGTGCGAGTGTGTGCATGCGTGCGGCTGTATGTAGACGCGTGTCGCCGAGACGTGCTGTGCTGTGCTCTGCTGAGCTGTGCTGTGCTGTCCTATGCTGTGCTGCGGTCTGCTGTGCTGTGCTGCGCTGTGCTGAAGAGGAGGAGGAGGAGGAGGAGGAGGAGGAGGAGGGGAGGAGGGCGGGTGTGGGGGAGACGCGGGCGCGGCGCGGCAGGGAATAAAACCAGAACCCCACGAAGCATGTGGGGAATAACCTCAAAGCAGACACGTGTTTTTTTCTGGCGTTTGCGAGCAGGCACGTTGCAAGTAGTGGAGCGCGCTCGGTGATCTGAGGCCCCCCCGTACCGTCTGGGAAGCCCCCCCCCCTGCCGCCACTCCCCTGTGTGCGCGCCGCCGAGGCCAGAAGACGGCGACCAGGACCCCAATTGTGAATGCGGCGGCGTCGGTGCCGAGCTTCCTCGCGAGCCGGCGACGGTCGGCATGCGCCCACGACGAAGACCTCCCAACGTCTGGAACGCGTTTCGGGTGCTCGTCGTCGGGGGGCAATCAACGTGGAAGAACCGTGCACCGTCCGTGCACCGTCTGGGCCCGCGGGGGCACTTTTTGGGGGCCGTCTGGAACCCCATTCTGGCCGCTTCTGTGATCCTCGATCCCTCCTCGTCACTCCAGATTTCGTAATAGAAGGGAGGGGGTCTGGACCCTCCAAGACAAGCCATTTCAGACCTCCCCCGTGGGAGAACCCTCCAAAACATCGTCCCCAGACCCCCCAGGCCCTCCAAGATAGCCTGGAAGAGACCCCCCCCGAAATGAGACCCCCCTCCCTTTATTACGAAATCTGGAGTACACGCTTCCCCCTCCAGAGAAGAGAACGGCATTTGAAAAAACAGGCACCACGAAAAAAGGACATCCAGCCGCTTGTCCCCCCAGCGCCGCAGGCTGGGCAGGGACCCCTCGCGATCGCCAGGCCCACCTTGTCTAGCAAATGACGCAAGGGCCACGTTGGACCCGAGACCCCCGAGGGCCACGAGGCACTCAACAACGACAGACACGTAGCGGAACGGGCCTGCACAGACCTCAAAAGCAGTCGGAGCGCAACTGCCGAGTCCGCAAGTGCTGGTTGCATCCCCCGGCCGTGCTGCGCTCAGCAACTGCTTGCTACCCTCACCACCGCCCTCCCCCCCGCCCTCCCCATCCAAAGGGGCCCAGGGAGACACACGCACACACAGAAATATACACCACACATTCAAGGATTCCCAACATGTGCTCATGTCTTCTGGATGTTCCCCTCTCCTCTCGTTAAGAGCTTGCCGACTTCTGCCGTCCCTCAATTCGCGCTGGAGCGGCCATGAGTTGCCACAACTTTCCTTGGAGATCTCTGGGTTGACCTGGATGTACCACGATTCGCACGGATGTACCTCGATTTACATGCATTTGCCTGGACTGATCTGGACCGATCTCCACAAAGTCGATTGGTGAAAAGTCGTCAAGCCCTGAGGGAGTCTTCTGGACTTGCCGAGGAGGATCTAAGACGGGACCCGAGTGGCTGCACGTGGCTGCCGCAGCAGCTGGGAGAGAGGCGGCCGCGGCAGGCGTGGCCCCAGCGGCCCCCTCTGGGGAGGCCTGGGAGTGGCAGGAAGAGCGGCTACGGCACTGGATCTCCGCCTCTCCGCCCACGGCCTCTTCCACCTTCTCCTCCTCCTCCCCCTCCTCCTCTTCCACCTTCTCCTCCTCCTCCTCCTCCTCATACTCCTCCTCCTCCTCTTCCTCCTCCTCCTCCTCCTCCTCCTCCTCCTCCTCCCTCTGCGGCTGCTGCTGCTGCTGCTGTTCCCTCTCCTGCTCCCCTGCCACACCTCTCCCTTCCGCCCGTCCTCCCACCCCCCCAATCCCCCTCCTGCTTCCAGCTCCTCGGCCCCGCAAAGACTGCCTCGGCGCGGCCCTGTGCTTCGGCTCCGCCGGCGCGCCGCCCTCCTCATGCTCGAGCGCGAGGCGCTCGGCGAGATGCCTGTGGGGTCCGTACTGGTCCGCCTCCGCCTCCGCCTCCTTCCCCTCCTCGACATCCGTCTCCTCGGCCTCCCTCTCCTCCCCCCCTCCTCTACTTCCTCCTCCTCGCCTTACTACTACGATGATTACAAGTATTAGGTTTAGTTTGCAAATAATAACATTACTATCATTCGTAGTATTAACATATGTAGCTTTACGCTTAATAGTAGTACTAGTAGTAGTAGTAGTAGTAGTAGTAGTAGTAGTAGTAGTAGTAGTAGTAGTAGTAAAAGTAATAGTAGTAGTAGTAGTAGTAGAAGAAGTAGTAGTAGCAGTAGTAGTAGTAGTAGTAGTAGGAGTAGTAGTAGTAGTAGTAGTAGTAGTAGTACTAGTAGTAGTAGTAGTAGTCATAGTAGTAGTAGTAGTAGTAGTAGTAGTAGTAGTAGCAGCGGGTTGTAGTAGTAGTAGTAGTAGTATAGTAGTAGTAGTAGTAGTGGTGGTAGTAGTAGTAGTAGTAGAAGTAGTAGTGGTAGTACTAGTAGTCCCAGTAGTAGTAGTAGTAGTAGTAGTAGTAGCAGCAGTAGTAGTAGAGGTGGTCGTAGTAGTAGTAGCCTTACCAGTATTACCATTAGGATTGTTAATAGTACTAAGTACTATGATTATTCACAGTATTGTTAGTATTAATGTTAACACTATTATTGTTGTCATTCGTATTGTTATTATTATGATTAGTATTATTCGTACCAGCAGTATCATTAGTATCAATAGTGTTAGTAGTCTTCTTATTGATAGGACAATTAGTATGAGAAGCATAATTGCTAGTATTACCCGTAGTATGATTATACTCGTTTTCTGGTTAGCAGTCTTCTAAGTATCATACCTACTATTATTATCATTCTAAAGGATCGTATTTCATACTTATTATCAGTCATACTAGTTTGATGCTCTTGTTTTGAAATCGCATTTCTTATTATTAATATGATTCGCAAGTGTATGATTAGTGGTCCTATCAACTTTCTGATCATGAGTATTAGTATTACTCTCTGTATTCTTATAAGTGCACATATTATGTGTCTGATTCTTCTTAGTAGTATCGTTATTACTGTCAGTCTGAACTTCAGTAGTATGGCTTATCAGTCTTACTGTCAGTGGTATTCGTTTTAATGTCAGTACCAGCATTCTTTTTACTAATCACCATATATTTACTATCCGAATTATTGTTCTTCGCTATAATACTCGTATTATTAATCATAATTTGTCTTCAACTTATCATTATTATCCTTGTTCGACTATTTAGCATTCTAAATATGAGAGGTTTTATTATTCATAGAATTAGCATTACTGTAATTATGTGCCTTAATATTGTTCATATTCGTCTTACTCGTATTATAATTCCTGGTATTACCAATCATGTTCCTACTTCTCCTCCGCCTTCTCTTCTTGCTCCTCCTCCTCCTCCTCCTCCCTGTCCTCCTCCTCCTCTTCCTCCAATTCCTCCCCTTCCTCCTCCTCTTCCTCCTCCTCTTCCTCCTCCTCTTCCTCCTCCTCCTCCTCCCCCGCTTTCTCCCCCTCCTCTTCTTCCTCCTCCTCCTCCTCATCCCCCTCCTCCTCCTCCTCTTCCCCCTCATCCTCCTCCTCCTCATCTCTCCGCCTCCTCCTCCTCCTCCTCCTCCTCCTCCTTCTCTTCCTCCTCCTCCGGCTACAAGTTGGATACAGGCCTGGCCGTGTCTCTTTTTCCCAACCCTCCTGCGAAGGGTTCTCGTTTTGGATACAGCACTGCTCGCGCGTCTCCTTCCTTCCTTCCCGCCCGTTTTTTCCTCCTTGCCTGTTGCCTCGCTCGCCGCTGCGTGCCAGCTGGGGGGCTGCGATCTGTGACACTGTCGCCACTTTCGAGGCCTGCTGGGGGGGGCCAGCACAGTGGGTACTCACCGCAGACTCAAATGGGACCTCGCCATCCCTGGGGGGGCTGCGATCTGTGAAATTGTCGCCACGTTCGAGGCCTGCTGAGGGGCCCAGCACAGTGGGTACTCACCGCAGACTCCGATTCGACCTCGCCATCCCTGGGGGGCTGCGATTTGTGAAACTCCCGCCACTTTCGAGGGCTGCTGAGGGCCCAGCACAGTGGGTACTCACCGCAGACTCAAATGGGACCTCGCCATCCCTGGGGGGGCTGCGATCTGTGAAACTGTCGCCGCTTTCGAGGGCTGCTGAGGGGCCCGGCACAGTGGGTACTCACCGCAGACCCAAATGGGACCTCGCCATCCCTGGGGGGCTGCGATCTGTGAAACTGTCGCCACTTTCGAGGGCTGCTGAAGGGGCCCAGCACAATGGGTACTCACCGCAGACTCAAATGGGACCTCGCCATCCCTGGGGGGCTGCGATCTGTGAAACTGCCGCCACTTTCGAGGGCTGCTGAGGGGCACAGCACAGTGGGTATTCACCGCGGACTCAAATTGGACCTCGCCATCCCTGGGGGGCTGCGATCTGTGAAACTGTCACCACTTTCGAGGGCTGCTGAAGGGGCCCAGCACAGTGGGTTTACTCACCGCAGACTCACGGACTCAAATGGGACTCGCCATCCCTGGTGGGGGGGTGCGATTGTGAAACCTGTCGCACTTTCCAGGGCTGCCGCGGGGCCCAGCACAGTGGGTACTCACGCGGACTCCAAAAATGGGACCTGCCATGCCTGGGGGGGCTGCGATTCTGTGAAACTGTCGCCGCTTTCGAGGGCTGCTGAGGGGCCCAGCACAGTGGGCACTCACCGCAGACTCAAATTAGAACTCGCCATCCCTGGGGGGCTGCGATCTGTGAAGCTGTCGTCACTTTCGAGGGCTGCTGATGGGGCCCAGCACAGTGGGCACTCACCGCAGACTCAACTTAGACCTCGCCATCCCTGGGGGGGCGCGATCTGTGAGACTGTCGCCACTTTCGAGGGCTGCTGAGGGGCACAAGCACAGTGGGTACCTACGCAGAGTCAAAATTGGACCTCGCCATCCCTGGGGGGCTGCGATTGTGAAACTGTTCGCTTCTTTCGAGGGTTGCTTGAGGGGGGGGCACAGGTGGGCACCACCGCAGACTCAAAAGTAACCTCGCCATCCCCTGGGGGGCTGAACGGTCTGTGAAACTGTCGCCACTTTCGGGGGCTGCTGAGGGACAGCACAGTGGGTACTCACGGCAGACTGAGATGGGTCCTCGCCATCCCTGGGGGGCTGCGTTCTTCGAAACTGTCGCCATTTTCGAGGCCTGCTGAGGGGCCCAGCACAGTGGGTACTCACCGCGGACTCAAATTGGACCTCGCCATCCCTGGGGGGCTTCGATCTGTGAAAATGTTGCCACTTTCGAGGGCCGCTGAGGGGCCCAGCTCAGTGGGTACTCACCGCGGACTCAAATTGGACCTCGCCGTCCCTGGGGGGCTGCGATCTGTGAAATTGTCGCCACTTTCGAGGCCTGCTGGGGGGCCCAGCACAGTGGGTACTCACGGCAGACTCAAATTGGACCCGCCATCCGGGGGGCTGGATCTGTGAAACTGTCGCCCACTTTCGAGGTCCTGTTGAGGGGCCCAGGCAGCAGGGTACCCCACATTACACTATCTGAGGCCACTTTCAAGCATTGTAGATCACCGGTCGCACATCCATCTGGGGCAGCAGACATGCGATCTGTCGCTCTCACATTCTGTACGCCTCGACACATTGATCGGCGGCCCTAGTGCGTGATACGCCCTGCGGACACTCAGGCTAATTGCCCCAGTGTAAAACATCGCGAATGTGCTTTGACCTATTCTTTAGCCGTTGCAGTGAAGGCGCTGCGTCCCACGCCACCTGCCGAGACTCTCGACCTCGCCATCCACGTGGGTGCCGGCGCCCTCGCACACCGACTGCTCCCCTTATCACGCCACACATTTTTAGTTCGAGTGACCTGGCAATCCTTTTTTCCTCCTTGATTTGGGGGCCCAGCACAGTGACGCCTCCCAAGTAGCTTACACATCAAGTTGATTGTCCATACAAGTTTCGGCCAACTCCTCGTTTCCATTAATACAAATGGGTTGGTCACAGGGAAATTCACGCGTAGACGAGAAACCCGCTGCGCACAAGGATATTATCGTAGGCGTCCAGATAGATGCCAAACAGGTTTTTAACAGTGCTTCCGCCCCTCGTGAAAAAGAGCGTTTTTTCCGCTGCGGTGATCCCCGAATGTTTCGTTATTATCAAGTGATCTGTGCGCACATGGAAACAGACAAACACCACAAATTCCCGACACATAGCGCATGGCTATTAACCAGCGCATTCTCGGATTGCATATCCGCCCCCCCTGGAAACGCGTGCTTTCCGCGGCGGTGGAAGATTACGGTTGCCCGATTGCCAGAAGATAAGGACACCGAATATGTGTATAGGTGTGCGTGTAAAAATGTGAAAATGCAACACCAGCAAGCCATCGACATCCACTGCCTACATATAGACCAGCGCACTCTCGAACGGCATATCCGCCCCCTGGGAACGCACGTTTTCGGATGCGGCGGAAGACTATTGATTTTCTACCTCCAGAAGACGGGGACGCCGCCATCGACATCTAGCGCTTACATATAGACCAGCGCGCTCTCGAATGGAATATAGACCCTTCCTGGGAACGCGCGTTGTCCGTTGCGGTGAAAGCTATTGTTTCCCGATTGCCAGAAGATCAGGACGCCGAAAATAATACGCAAGCCAAAAAAGTAAACACACACACACACACACACACACGCACGCACACACGCACGCACGCACGCACGCACGCACGCACGCACGCACGCACACATACGAGGCACCGATCTCTTTCGCAGCTCCGGGCTGCCTCGCCCTCGCCCTGCAGCCGGGGCCGTAGGCGACCCGAGGAGGAGGAGGAGGAGGAAGAGGAGGAGGAGGAGGGGAGGAGGGGAGGAGGAGGAGGAGGAGGAGGAGGAGGAGGGTGGGAGGAGGAGGTGGATGAGGAGGAGGAGGAGGAGGTGAAGGAGAAGGAGGGGGCGGGAGGAAGGAGTTTTTAGGAGGAGGCAGGAGGAGCGAGGAAGGAGAGGAGGAGGAGGAAGGAGGGAGAAGGAGGAGGAGGAGAGGGAGGAGGAGGAGGAGAAGGAGGAGGAGGAGGAGGAGGAGGAGGAGGAGGAGGACGGGTCGCCTGAGCCCTTCGGAGAAACCCTCCACCTCGCCCCCCACCCTCCGCCCACTGCAAGGCCGCACCTGGCAAAAGCCTTCGAGGCGATCGGCACCAGGCGGCAGGAGCGCGTGACCCAGGCAAACCCCCACTAAGACGAAACCAGGGCGAAGGTAAAATCGGGTGAGGGTGAGTCGAGAATCTCTGAGATCCAGCGGCTCTGGAGGAGGTGCCGGGCGCCGCGGCCTTCTCAGACCGTTCCGGAACGCTCCGAGGGCGTTCCAGAACGCTCTGGAACGGATTTGTCCTCGTCCCAGCCCCGCCCGACCCACCCCCGTCCAACACCCGCCACGGACAGAAGGCCAGGAACTCGGATGACGGAGGAGCGGCGACAAGAAGCGGGTCCTACCCGAGAAGGCATAGCGAGACCTCACGCCACGGCTGACGCGGGCCGCCAGCGCGGCACCCCGCGTGGAGGAGAGGGCGCTTGCGCGCGACCTTACAGTCGGGGCGTTGACCTAAGGAACCCTAAATATGGAACGGGGCCCCTTCCTCCCATAAGTTGAGCTTCGATTTCCCATGGAAAACCTCAGGAAAACAGAAGGCAAACTGCAGAACAATCAAGGACCACCGAGCCCCTCCCCAACGAAAAGGGTTCCTTCTTCAGGGCCCCGACTGTACGCGGGAAACCTACGCGCGGAGGTCTCCGCTGTCGACCCCGCTTTCCCTCTGTCGCTCAAGGATGGCCGAGGGAGACCGGGAGGGGCCGGAGCCGCACGGCGCCTCTCGGAGCCCCTCGGAGACGGCCTCTCGGAGCCTCTGATCGGGACGCCGTGCCGACCAAAGAATTCGGAGCGGCGTCCTCCCGTGGAGGCCGAGCCCACAGCTTCTCCCGGGCTCGGGGATGGACAGAACTGAAGGGGCCCTGGGACACACAAATAAATACACACAAATAAAATAATTCCCCATATTTCCCATATTTTCTGGGTTTTTGTCTTCCCCCCCACTTCCCATATTTCCCCATATTTTCTGGGAAATCGACGATTAATTGTGTCTGTGTTTTTTCCCCTCCTGAAGAACTCCCTTCAGTAAAACGTGGTTTAGTGAAAACGACCCGAGGCCCAAACCTGGCGGGCGCAGGCCTGGAAAATAACGGCCAGGGCGCCCTCTCGAGAACCGAGAACGGACGATTCAGTAATCGACGTGTCACTGTTGGGGGTTCTGTCCACCCCCGACAGGCACCGTCCCGAATGGCAGCCCATCCAACAGAGGTCACTTCCTGGCACCGGGGCCCCTGGCAGGAGCCCGAAAAAAGGCAGCAGGAGTGCGGCAGGGCATCTGGAGGCGCGCAGGCTCGATCCTGCGCTTCCGCCGCAGGTTCACCCGCCGGAGGTGCTGGTCCAGGAGCGGGTGCCCTGTCGTCAGCTCGGTGACACTGTCCTGGGAGGGGAAGGGTAAAAAGAGGCGGATGTCAGGCAGCAGCAGACAGAAGTCGCCAGCGGAACAGCAGGGGAGCAGCAGGAGAAGCAGGAGACGCAGCAGAAGGAGAAGCAGGAGCAGAAGCAGGAGAGGGGAAGAGAAGCGGAGAGGGGAAGAGAAGGCGGAGAGGGGAAGGGAGGCAAAGGGAGGAGGATGAGAGTCAGGGAGTCAGAGCATAAGCAGGACCTGAAAATGAAGGAAGGGGAGCAAGCCGCAACGAGGGGGGACTGAGAGCCCACTATGATCGCACACCTGAAGATATTACCCTCCCTGTGTGCTGGTACATGCACAAACTCCCTCATACACCCACGCAGGAGAGCGAAACATACCCTTACAAATCATAGATATGGTCGAGCTGGCAGAGCACCGTTGATAAGGAAGTTGGGTCCAGAATGCTTACCAGAGTGCGCACCAGATGTGCACATGAAGGACGCAGCTGAATAGCGTGGCACGTCCGCACCTAGCCTAGGATCTGGCACATGGTGTCCACTGCGCTAGCGCCCCACAGCTCCATTCTTCAGCGAAGCATCGCGTAGCCAGGGCAAGGCGAAGCCATGGCGCAAGGAGGAGAGAAGAAGGTACACCACCCCATAGCCGGCCGAGGGGGTCTGTGTGTGTGGGGGGGGGGGTAAACCCCCTGGAAACTCTCGGGGCTCCTGAAGCCCAGCGGGGCTCCCTCGCATGGTGGAGGCCTCCTAAAGCTGGGGTCCGAGTGGATGGGGCCGGAGGCTCGCGCCGCAGATGCATCGCCGATGCATCGCCGATGCATCGGCGACCACGGCGATGCAGCGGCGCCATCGGCGAGAAGATCGAGCCACACACCGAGCCGCATCGGCGAGGCATGGCGAGGCATCGGCGAGGCAGCGCGACCCGCCGACCCTGCTTCCTCGGACCCCGGTGGGGAGGCCTGGACCTGGAGGAACCCCGAGGGGGGGAGGGAGCCTGGAAATCCCAGGCGGCTCGCACAAGCTCGGAAGCAGCCCCAACTCCCGGTGTGGAACCCCGGCGGTGGCGCCCACGGAAGGCCCCCGCCCACCTGGAAGCCGCCTTGGGGCCTGGAGGTGGATCGTAACAGGGGGGACCGACTCAGGTGGGGAAACCTCGAGCCGGAATCGGCGACGCAGCGCCGGGAAGTCGGCGAGATTCCCCCGATATAGAGAATCCGCACGCTCCTGGGCAGGGTGGGCCATCGGGCCCCTAACGGCGATCCATGGGCGAGTTGGGGTCGATGCATCCCCCCCTGAGCATGCCCCCCTTAACACTGCCCCTGGCTGGCCTCGGCTTCCTGGTCGTACCTCGGGTCTCGGGCGGCCGCTCGGGACGATCCCGGCACCTCTCGGGAACGCCCTCGACGGGAGGAGGAGGAGTTGGGGTCGATGCATCCCCCCCTGAGCATGCCCCCCTTAACACTGCCCCTGGCTGGCCTCGGCTTCCTGGTCGTACCTCGGGTCTCGGGCGGCCGCTCGGGACGATCCCGGCACCTCTCGGGAACGCCCTCGACGGGAGGAGGAGGAGGAGGAGGAGGAGGAGGAGGAGGAGGAGGAGGAGGAGGAGGAGGGAGGCGTGGAGGAGGCGGGGGAGGGAGGAGGTGAAGGAGGATCTGATGAGGAGGAAGGAGGAGGAGGAGGAGAGGGAGGTAGGTAGGAGGAGGCAGGAGGAAGGAGGGAGGAGGAGGAGGAGGAGGAGGAGGAGGAGCGCCTGATGGAAGCTGCCCTGGGCCTCCACAAAGGCTTCCACTGTTGCACGCCACGGTGGAGGCAGAAGCAGCGGCGCGCTGCCGCCGTGCGCCGCCGAGGTCCTGCGCCCCGTCGGCGGGCGGGGCCTCGTAGACGTGGAGGGCGAAGTCGGACGCCACGAGCCGCGTGCGCTTCGCCGCCCGCGCGTTCCTGCTGCACCTGCCGCGCAGGGCCGGCGCAGAGGCAGCTGCCAGCCGCTCACAAGGTCGCTGAATCCGTGGGTGGTATCCACAAACATCATGGACTCCAGCATTCCCCCGAGGAGGAGGAGGAGGAGGAGGAGGAGGAGGAGGAGGAGGAGGAGGAGGACGGGGAGGACAGCGAGGACCCCAACATCCGGGCCGGCGCAGCCAGCCGCCGGTTCGGGAGGCCGGGTCGGATCGGATCGCGCCTCGGAGCGGGCCGCAGCGGCACGGAGCCACAGTCGAGCCGGATCGGCCGCGCCAGGGTGCCGCGCAGCGCCGCGCGAGCGCCCCGGGGAGCACCGGGTCGCCGGGAGATCGGAACTGAACCCCACAGCCCCGACGTCGCGGCATTTTCGCTACGTCCACCCTCAGAGGCCTGGACCCCTTCACCAGGACCAGTTTCTCATCCTGAATCGTTCTTTGACGGTCCCGGGGCCCGGTAAGGCCCCCCTAAACCGAAAATTGCGAAAAACCTCCCGTCATGTTTTTTGCTCACAATACGAGAACTCCTTGGACCAGACTGGGCTGGCCGGAATCGGTATACCGAATTTGGATCGGCCGGATCAAAGCGGACCCTGGCGAGGAGGAGGAGGAGGAGGAGGAGGAGGCGGAGGAGGAGAAGGAAGAGGAGGAAGAGGAGGAGGAGGAGGAGGAGGAGGAGGAGGCCGAGGAGGAGGAGGGGGAGGAGGAGGAGGAGAAGGAGGAGGAGGAGGACTTGGCAGGTCTTAGCAGCATTTCATTTCATTTGGCCGTTTTCCCCCAGTTATCCGTCCCTCCCCTCGCCTTACCGGGCGCGCGGGCTTACTGAGCCTCTGGCGTGTCAGATCTTCGCCGTGCGTTTTTTGTTGATGTGTGTATTTGTTGCCGGGGACCCGTTGTCACCATCGTCATCGTCACCATTGCCATAATCATAAGCATTTACATGGGTATCATGGTACATTCACAATCACTTGCACAACAATCATCCACTAGAGCCACTACACTGGTTATCATCATCGTCATCGCCATCATCACCGTTATCATTCATCGCCGTCGTCATCATTACCAGTATCACCATCAACACTATCATCATCACAATCCATGTCGTCTACCCAAAAGCGGATGCTGTCGGTTGTGGGCAACTGCCGCTGACGGGCATCATTACATGTTGCCTTGCCCATGCCAGGCGTGCCATGTCCTGCCTGGGGCCCCAGAGGTCGGGAGGGCAATGCTCCCCTCCATTGACGACGACGACGACGACGACGACGACGACGAAGACTAAGAGGTGACGACGACGACGACGGCCACGACCACGACGAGGTGACGACGACGATGACGACGACGGCGACGCCGTCGTCGTCAATGGAGGGGAGCACATAACCAAGCATTGCATAGCAGATCATAGCATAGCATAGCGCAGCATAGCATATCGTAGCATAGCATAGCATAGCATAGCACAGCATATCATAGCATAGCATAGCGCAGCTTAGCATAGCACATCATAGCATAGCATAGCTTAGCATAGCACAGCGCAGCATGACATAGCATAGCTTAGCCTAACATAGCATAGCATAGCATAGCCCAGCATAGCATAGCATAGCATAGCATAGCATAGCATAGCATAGCGCATCATAGCAGTGCAGCGCGACTCCGTGGTGCAGCGCGACTCCCAAGGCCGCCGTGGTGCCTACCTGGGCTCTCCTGGAGGGCCTCTTGGAGCTCTCTTGGGCCGTCTTGGGGGCCCCTTGGGCCGTCGTGAGGCCGTCTTGGGGAGCTGAGCCGTGTTGGGCCATCTTGGGCCATCATGGTGTCAGCTTGGCTGTCTTGGAAGCTGTCATTGAGGCAATCTCGGCCGCTTGCGCCGCCATGCAGTACACAACATCACAACGATAGTGTTGAGGGAACTCCAGGCCTTTGAACAACAAACGATGATGTAACACGCTGACGGTCATCTCACGGCGGGGGAGGTGTGGATGTTTCCGAGCAGACATAACCCGAGGAAACTTGCACGATTCAGAAGAACGATCCAATTACGAGTCTGCCACAAGACTCTGCGGAGGCACCCCGCGTCGCGCGTACGCGCGACCATGCTGTAGATTGCCCACATACACCAGCACCTCACTTCATGGCGTTCAGAATCTGGAAAAATATGATCCCCGACACGTTAGAAGACACTGCATTGCCGACCATCTTCTTGAACTGCTTGATGCTCACCGTGTCGGGGATGACCACGCCCTGCATGTTCACTCCCTGGAGCTTGGCCAACTCCTCGTGGGTCGTGAATCGCATGAGGTTCGATATGAAATAGCCGCCTCCATACCCGCGGTTCGCTGTGATCGTAGGGCATAGATTTTTCTCGACCGTGACCCAGTTCTTACCACCACCCAGTATGTCCATGATCCACGTCTCTGTGCAGGGGTTGCCACCTTTCTTGAACACCTTCTTCATGGCCTCGAAGAGGTTCGGGATGGAGTAGTCGGGGACGTCGTCCAGGCAGCCCTTGAGCTGCATGTCGAAGTAGCTCTCCAGGCTCGGGACCGGCAGGGGTGCAGGCATCTGGAAAACAGGAATGCTCGGCACCGCCGACTTGTGCAGTGCCACGATGTAGAGTCGCTTCCTGCGCTGGGGAACGCCGTAGTCTTTTGTGTCGACAACGTGGTCGGTCACGCTGCAACAGCAATTGCCAATGCGACGGAGGCTGTGCATGATGTACGAATAGACGCCGAAGTGTTTCGTCTTGATGGTCGGGACTTGCTCCATCACTGCAACTAGGGGCTGGTGTCGGCGGATGTACTCCAGGGGGAAGTTGACGAGCGTGCCGTCCCTGTGGTCGGAGGACGCCTCCCAGCCCTGCTGCTTTCCCTGCTGGCTGTACTTGTTGCATGGCGGGCTGTACCACAGGAAATCAACATACGGCAGGCGAGCCAAGTTCACGTTCTTCACGTCACCGTAGATAACGCAATCGGAGGCAATGTTCGCTTTGAGGAACCTCTGGCACGCCCGATCCTTGTCGATTGCGAACTTCTGCTTCACGTGAACATTTGGCCCAAACAAAGTCTGCAACACGTACTGCAGGGGCCGTAGCCCGTTCTCCATGCCTGAGAAGAAACTGCCACTCGTAAGATCGCCCTCGACACATTTGGATTTTAGAATGTTTGGTAACTTGGAAGTGCGCTTCTTACCCAGCTGCATAATAGGGGCACCAGCCTTACTGGCTGACTTGTTGGTGGGCTTGGACGCGGCGACCATTGCGCACTGGTGTTGCGCGCCGGGGAGGGCTTGCTAAACTGAGAACTGAGCAAGCCGAAACCTCGCAGGAGGAGAGAGGCGCTCGTTTCGCCGAGGCTCCCCCCCAAGTTGCCTCGAACCGTGGCAGCAGGGGGTAGGGCTGGGAGGTGAGCTAGGGCTGACCTGAACGCTGTCTTGGCGTGGCTCGTAGCACTCCGCTGGGCCCCACCACGGTCAAGGGATGCACGCCACTTTTCCGAGCTAGATTCAGCCGTGCATCAGGGGGACCAAGAAGGCAGGATTAGCTTGGCGAGGAATCCAATCATGTGCAAATGTGAGTACCACAATTGTGAGTATACGATTCGAGGTGAAACTCCCTATGGGGCAAAACTTGCATGCGGGCTGTGCCGCTGGGGCCTTCGGTGGAGCTCTTGTGGAGCCACTACAAGTTTGTGGGCTGTGCCGAAACGGGATTGTCGCCCAAAAGCGGGCTGCGCCACTGGGACCGTGGGTGGAGCTCCCTGCGGGGCCACGAAACATGTGAGGGGTGTGCCGGAAAAAAGGCGGAGTCGCGCGGCAAACAACAGTGATTGTCATGAGGTTATTGAAAAACATAAGTTTTCGCCTGTCTGGGCGTCTGGCCACCCAAGACGGCCGAAGAGGTCTCCACGGGAGCTCCAAGACAGCCCAGGAGGCCAGGGACGAGGAGAAGGACGAGCACGAGGACGAAGAACAAAAACGAGAAAGATGAAAAGGACGAACAGGAGGACGATGAGGAGATGAGGACGCGGACGAGGACGAAGGGGATGAAGACGAGGACTCAGGCAGCCATCTGGGTGTCTTCTTGAGGCCCTCTCGGGGTCATGTTGTGGCTCTCGTTGAGGATCAGTAACCCCCTTCTCCTACTCGTTGTGCGATGGGTGTGCCGAAAGGGGCGTCGCCAACATGCGAAGTTACTTTGGCTTTAGCTGGAGCTCCCTGTGTGGCCACAAAACGTGTGAGGATGCTGAGGATGAGGATGAGGATGATTATGATAATGATGATGCTGATTACCCCAGTGCGACCCTACCTAGAAGTTGGAGCCCCTAGGAAAGCAGCATTAGTTGCTATGCTATACTGTGCTATGCTATGCTATGCTATGCTCCCCTGCTGCCTCCTCATCCTTAACCCCCTTCTCCTCGTGTCTTCCTTATCCTCCTCACCCTTTGCTCCTCCTCCCCCCATCGACTCCTTCTTCATCATCATCCTCTTCCCCCTTCCCCTACTCCTCCTCTTTTTCCTCCTCCTCCTTCTCCTCCTCCCCTTCCTTCTTACCCAGATCTCGCCCCTGGGCGCTCGAGCTGCGGCCCGACGCGCCGCCATACTGTCAGTGTTGGGCAACTGCCGCTGACGGGCATCATTGCATGTTGCCTTGCCCATGCCCGGCGTGCCATGTCCTGCCTGGGGCCCCAGAGGTCGGGAGGGCAATGCTAGTACAGCGCTGCGCCATGCTAAGCTAAGCTAAGCTAAGCTAGCCTCTAGGCAGAGCGTAGGTAGATGAGGGAGATGTGTTTTGTTTTGCGTTGCCTGTGCGTTGCTTTGCTGTCGCTGCTGTTGCTTTGCCTTTGCTTTGCTGTTATGCTATGCTCTGCTATGGTAGGCTATGATATGCTATGCTATGCTGCGCTGTGCTATGCTGTGCTGTGCTGGGTTATGCTATGATATGCTGTACTGCGCTATGCTATGCTACGCTATGCTATGCTGTGTTCTGCGATGCTAAAGCTCAGCAAAGCTAAGATGAAGGTAAGCTAAGCTGAGATAAAACTGAGCAACGATGAAGCTACGCTAAACTAAACTAAGCTAAGATGAGATACGCAACGCTAAGGTAAGGGGGCGCAACTGGGGGAGCCGCGGGGCGGATCCTGGGGGAACCGCCCGGGGCGAGGAACATTGCCGGGCATATTTAAGCAAAGAGAGTAAGAACCCTTCTAGGCAGAGCCTAGGTAGGGAATGATGCTGATGATGAGGATGAGGATGATTATGATGCTGATAACGATGAGGATGATGATGAGGATGATGATTGATGATGATGATGATGCTGGTGATGATGATGATGATGATGATGATGATGACGATGACGATGATGATGATGATGATGATTATGATGATGATGATGCCGATGATGATGATGATGATGATGATGATGATGATGATGATCATGATCATGATCATGATGATGAGGATGGGGATGAGGATGAGGATGAGGATGAGGATGAAGGTGATGGTGATGATGATGATGATGATGATGGTGATGATGGTGGTGGTGATGGTGATGATGGTGATGATGATGGTGGTGATGATGATAAGTATGATGGTTTCCTGCGCGTTTGCGAGCAAGCGGCTGTTGGCACCCGACCGTGCCCTCCAGCCGCCGCTCGCCAGATGTCTTGTTGGTGCTTGCCCGCCTGGAGAGCAGCAGCATGCCTTCAATTGAACCCTGAGCCCATCCTCGCCCTGAAACCCTTAATCTGAATATCCTCAACTGAGCCAGGTGTTCAGAAGGCTGCACTGCCAGGCCATTCTCTCGAGGGAGGCCTCCGCCTCCGCAGATGCGCCATCACTGCGATGGCGCAGCAACACTACGGACCATGCAATGCACGACCGCGAATCCACAGCATCGCGCGAAAGTGCGACAGGCTCAGTCAGGCATCATCCTCACTCCTCCATGTCCTCGTCCTCCTCCTCCTCAGGCTCGCTGTCGTCGCCCTCGGGCTCCTCAGCAGCTCCCGCCTTGCCGGCCTTGTCCTTCTTGGGGCCCTTCCCCATGCCCTCCAACAACTTCAGCAGCTCCGCGCGGCTCTCCGACTTGTTCGCCTTGTCCGCCTTGTTTCCCTTGCCCGTCTTGGCCTTCTTGGGTGGCGTCTCGCCATCGCCGTCGGGCTTAGACTCGGAGCCACCCTGACCACGATTGTTGCTCGTCCGCTTCATCTTAGGCTGAGGCTTAGAATCATCCTTCTTGGAGGAGCTGTTCTCCATGAGCGCTGCGAACTTGGGGTCGTACAGCTCGTCGTCCACCCTGAGCACGCACATCAGCACGAGGAGTTCCAGGCGTTGGTACAGGCCCGTCACGTGCGACATCTTGAAGCAAATGCCAACGTACGGTTTACGCCAGCGGATGAAGGGAACGGCCGCGAAGCCTTCACCGGCGTTCCAGTCAAGGGCCCCAGCCATGTCGAAGCAATGGTACTGCTCGTCGAACAAGTTCGGCTCAGGGCTGTGGTAGAACAGGGGCTCAGAATCCTTCGGGTTCCTCTTGGGCACAGGGATCCCGCTCGAGCCTCCAACGTCATGCCGATGCGATCCGAAAAAAGAGAGCTTCTCCTCGTAGGACATGTGCCACGAGTCTTTCCACTCGTTGAAGCGGACTGGCTGCATGATCTCCCAGCGATTGGTTCCCTCGTAGTGGAGCCTCTTGCGAATCTTGAGGTTGAGGCCGTTCGGGTTGTGAATCACATGCATCCACTCCACTTGTTGCATCTTCCATCCACGGATGCAGCCGAGGCGACTCTGCAGCTGGTCGGCGTCGTAGATCAGAGAGTACGTAGTCTCGTCCTTCATGACAGCCTTGCCGTCCACTTGCCACGCGCTGAACATCTGCGCCTTCAGGCCATGCTTGTAGCCGTCCAGCACGATCGCTACGTCGGTGTCCGGGAAAACAGTAGGCGACCCTCGAAACCCCAGGAAGACGTCCACTGCTTTTTGGTATGCGTCTTTCCTATAGGACATCATCCGAACATGTGGCGCAGTGGCGACCTCGCCACTCAAGTTCAAGGTGTACAGGAAAGCGAAGTAGGAAGTGTGCGACTCCATGCTCTTGCCCTGCACTCGATGAATCGGTAGCTCCTCGAGTTTCGACACCATCTTACCCACAGTTGCTTCCTCTGGGACCAGCGTAACGAAGGTGCGAACGAGCGCCCTTGCTTTCGAGTAGAAAGCCTGCAAAGTCTCGACGTCATCGGGGTCCTTGAGGGCGAAGCCCATGTCCTGAATCGCCTTCGAGATCTCGGGCGGCGCCTCCTTGACCTGTGCTGGAATAGAGCTCTGCGGCGCAGGGGCTGTCTCGCTGACGGCGGCACCCGCGTCCTCCTTCTGCTTATCCTCGGTCTTGAAGCACTCCGCCCAGTCGTTCAGGTGCGACCCTAAGTGTTGCTCAACGAACTCCTCGGCAGAAGCCTTCTTGCACTGTTCCTCGATGTCGGAGTCGCGCGTGTTGTCGAAGACGACCGAAAATAGTTCTACGGCGATGTCCATGTAGACTGGCCACTCACCCTTCCAGCTCTGGTCAACCTCTCCGCCATTGTGCGAGAAGCCCAGGCCCTTCCGCCAAGACTTGTGCGACTCAGTGAGGTCGCGAAGCTTGGCTTTGAGCGCGGCAGGGCACGGCTGGATCTCGAGCCAGGAGTCGCGCAGGTGCTTCAGCACGCTCATCCTGTAGAGGCTCTTCTCTGGCCAAGACACCTTACCCTTTGTCCCCTGCATATCCCTGAGTGCCAGGCCCTTCTGGCTGATGCCCCCGGTCCTGAACTGGTCGTCCATGTCCTGGATCAGCCACTTGATATTATGGGATGTCGAGCCCTTGCTCACAATGGCCTGGAGGTTCCCCACCCCGTTGAAGACCGCATTGTGGCCGTACGTGTTGACGTTGCCCATGACAATCTCCATGTTCTCTGTAGCAGATAAGCACCTGTTCCAGACCGTGATTGCTTGATCAACCAAAGAACCAGTGATCTCGTCTTCCTTCGAGCCGCTCTGCTTCCTGATGTGCGCGTTGAATTCTGCAGCCAAGTTCTCCGGGGAGTACTTCGACTGCATCCGTTGCTTATGCATTGCAAGCTCCACGATCAGCTGAGGCGTCGTGCGCACGACCAGGTCGTACTGCTGAGCGATCCTGTTGCGCAAGACGGTGCCTGGGAAGACCGTTCCGACCCTCGTCGAATCATTGGGCATGGCATTCCGCGCCGCCTTGTCTCTGATCGAGACAG